ATGCATCATCTTGCGAGTACTTACGTCAAGTTGTCGCAGCTCGACTTGAGTCCACTTTATCACTCCAAATGAGTAAAGTAGGATCGGAACAGCAAGCATATTAGTAGCAGCGACTTTGTTCTTGCCCGACAGTTCTGACGACCAGATCTGTCGGAGCCGCTGCCGATACTTGCTGCGGAGAGCGTCTTTTACCCGTTGTGCCTCCTGGATATGAGTTTCCTCTACACCCAGGTAAGTGTACGTCCTTCCGGCATCCAGGTGGTGTAGAATGCTTCCGTCCACGAGCTGCGCGTCTTTGTCGTAATTCTCGCATCGTCCTCTCTTGAGATGAACCAGTGCACATTTGTCCATTCCGAATTCCATTCCAATTGCCTGAGTGTACTCCTGCACCACCCTGAGGGATTGGTCCATATCCCTTTCACCAGAGGCATAAAGTTTTAGGTCATCCACATAGAATAAGTGGGTGACCTTATGCCTCCGGTAACTGGGTGGGCCGCAGTTGTATCCTTTGGTTTTCCTGAGCTCAACGGATAGTGGCAGAAGTGAGATGCAGAATAGGAGAGGGCTGAGGGAGTCCCCTTGGAATACTCCTCTCCTTATGATGACTGGCTCTGTCTGGACTCTCGCATTACCTGATGTTATAGTAAAGCGGGTCTTCCAGACCAGCATCAGTTGTTTTATGCATCTCACTATAGAATCGGGTACCGAAAGGCACTTGAGCAAGTACACGAGTAACTCATGTGACGTTGTGTCAAATGCCTTTCGGTAATCGATCCAGGCCACAGAGAGATTCCGCTTGTACTGCACAGAGTCCTGTGTAATAGATCTACTTTTTCCACTTTTTCCACCAGAAGTTATTGATCCCGTCGGGACCAGGAGCAGCAAAGTTCTTGGAGCCTTTGAGGGCTTCTCGAACCTCCTCAGTGGTTATCGGGCTCAGGCTCTCGGTATCTTTCGCAAAAGGTACCGAACTGCGCCAGGGCTGGAGTATCTCTGTTGAATGGATGCCTCACCTCGTAAATACTCTTCCAGAAGGTTTCCACCTGATCAGCAGTCGGCGGATTGTCAACCACACTTGGAGGCGGTTGAAATAAGCGATAGGGCTTCTCGCGGAATTATTTATTCTCCGCCAGTCCTCTCGCTCACCTCTTCAGTGACTGTTTTGCAGCCACTAACATCCGTATCCTTTCGAGGCAATGCTGTTTGATGGTGGATAGCACTGCCTCGTTTAGTGTGTGATGGGTGCGACGTAATTTAGTGGCCATCCGTCGCACCTTCGATGTGAATGGCCTGTTGGCACTCACATAATCCATCACACACTGGATACGGGAAGTGTGTTGTCTCGCCGACTGGATCTTCCATCTTTTGTACCCGCCGATCGGCCCTCTCAATCGGTGAGACCGTTTGTATCGGTCTCTCTGGCTGAGAGGACCGAACCACGTCATACACGGCACAATTGATGTGCCAGATGTCAGCCCCTTCCGGAAGCGTTTCTCGAAGCGATTCATCCATCCTTGCAAGGTCTCGGGTCCGCAGGGCTTTGATGTTGAGTCGGCTCCTGCGGTTCCTGATTTCGCTCACCTCAGGAAGCACACGGTCCCCTCTCTCGTTGTCGAGCAGGATGGGTGGAGCGTGTTCCTCCACACCATCTTCTTGCCGAGAAGGGACTCTTACGTATTGTCTAGCGCGTAGGTGAGATACATAATCCCGCAGATTTTGAGCGGTGAATGCTCCATGCTCTGGGTGTTGCTCAATCCACAGAGCATGCATCCGCCTCATGTATCCCCTACGCCCTGGATCGCTGCTCTCGAAGCACTGCAGAAGGTCGTCCCTCAGATCATCTGTCCACTCAAAGCGTCCATTTTCATCGCGGTCGTTATCAGGCTGTCCGTCCTGTTGGGCCCCACCACCTTGCCTTTGACCCCTATCCGGCTGGGGTCGGTTGTGGGGGCCCTAAAAAAACAATCTACTATTTGTCGATTAAAGGCAATTTGGTATACTTGCTGACCAGCAGATTTTTAAATCCGACCTCGAATGATTCACGAGATACAGCACTAACCGTTTCTTGCAGATTTCTCTGTATGCTGAGTCATTTTCTTCCCATTGTTTCCACTCTAAATTACTTGATAATTTCAAACACTCCACTTGCTCTGAGACTGATTGTGAGACAATTGATTTTTCATGGCTTCTTAGGAATATTACCAAAACATAATTGATAATTTATGAACTATTGATTAACTAATATTTCTGAAGTTCCCAATCGCATTCCAACATATGGCAATTCTGCTATGGTCTGCCCTACTTGTTAAATCGTGACTTCAGTTTTTACTCGCGGTAAATTTCAAGCTGTTTGAATTTACCGTGGCATCATTGATGATTTTGGCACCTTGAAATCAACCAAAAAAATTCTAAAAAAACATGGAATTGAAAGGTATTTGAGTGATGATTCTATTCAAGAAATAAAAAATAATTAGTCCACTAGTCTATTCCTTTGGTAGTAGGGCCACCCCGCCGAACAGTTCAGCTGATTTTGAAAATTCCACCTGAACGTTGCAGATGTTGTGTCGCAGCCGGTAAATAAATGTGAAAACAATGTCATTGTTTTTCCTCATCCGGGTTCATGCTGATCGCAGAACGCCACCTGACAAGGAGTGTTTCTTTCCTTGCCTCGCGTTCATTTCGCGGACTATGAATGCCTCGGGGGGTATAAATGCTGAGATATGCGTTTTACGTTGGGTCAAGTTCGCACCAGATAGCTGTCAAGAATGCTATTGGGGACAGCCCTGCACTGATGAGAACCAACACCCCGAAACCGGTCTACAGGTTGTCACGCATTCCTGAACCACTTAAGCGCAGCTCGGCTTTTAGGAAGGAAACTTTTGCGATTTTATTCGTCTACACGAATTATTGCATAGATTCCGGGAAAGTAGTTGTTTTTTCCTCGTTATCTACCATTTCCGTTCATTTTATGAACTATTGTGGTAATGACTGAGTTTTCCTCTCTTTGTGACCATTACATTCCACTTAGAGTATTTGGATTTTTCCTTGTTGATCCTAAGAGTTTCTTGAAGATATTTCACATCCAGTAAGCTGAATATATGTCTCTAGTACATCCTGTGTCATCTCACAAAAATCCTGATGGGATGTTTATATGACATCGCAAATGCTGACACGGGTGTTGATAGCAACATCTCAAAAATGTCCAAAGGAAAATAGATTCTCCAGAGATATTTCTATTATCCCATATGGATGTTTCTACATCTTACGGATATTATTGTGTTATTAGAGATGAAGAAATGTTCGCTGGAAAATATCTGATAATAATCTTTTATTAAAACTTACCACTTTCCGGATGGTGCAGCTCGAAGACGGTGAGAGATTCGGGAAAACTGTATAACTAGAAAAGTTGTGGAAAATTTTGTCAGCTCTCATTTTGATTCAAATAATTTTTCTCACGACGAACTTATTCCGACATATGACGTCAGAACTTCCAGTAGGTTCACTCTCTAAATATCTTAAACAAGTTTCTGGAGGAATCGCCTAGGTCCCTGCTCACGCATACACCTTTGGGCCATTCATTGAGTGGACTTATTGTAAAATGTTAATTTTAGGTACTTCAGATATATCTCAGAGAGAGTGGTTGTGTTATTCGTGCAATGTTTTTGAATCACCACTTTATGATGTAGCTAACATTGGCTTACATGTATACAAGAAACAAGGGGATAATATTATTTTTCTAGACGGCAAAGTAACCTTGTCAACAGTCAAAAGTGAATTATTTTCCATCCCGGCTATTTTGTTTGTTGTCTATGAAAATATCGATCTTCAGCTATACAGGGTGTTTCCTAATTGAATGCTGATCCTAAAGGGCGATGCTCCTTGGATGATTTTGAGGAGAGGAGTTCATATCAACATATGTCCTGAACCTCTGTTTTTGAGCTACAGGGTGTTGAAATCAGAAGCGTACAGCGTTTTTTTAAACAGAACATTCAATATCAATATTCACTGGTAAGAGTAAAAGTTTGATTTTCGTCCCAAAACAAAATGTGTCTCCACTTATAGTGGGTGTCTACTGAATTACCAAAAACAATATCCAAGAACTGAAGGAACAAAATTCTTTGGTTTTTATTTTTTTACGCGAAAACGGTACGTTGTATGAAAGTAAGTCTAGGAACCAAATTTGCTCCAAAATGAATAAGAATTGAAAAAAAAATCTGGTTCTCAGAAAAATCAGTGGCGTACTATTTTTTCTTCAAAAATTGTCAGTTCAAACCCCGTTTGGACGCCACTGGTGAGCATTTTCAAATATCTTTCACCTGGAAAAATGCTCCTTAATAATGAAAAGGTGTATACAAAATATCATAGCAATATCTAGGAGTGATAAAAAATTATGATGAAACTCATTTTTTTCTTGAAATTTCATCACCCTGTAGCTCAATAACTAAGAGGTTCAGGACATATGTTGATATGAACTTTTCTCTTTGAAATCATCCAAGGATTATCGCCCTTAAGGATCAGCATTCAATTATGAAACACCCTGTATATTCATAGCTATCAAAATAAGATAAGAACTGAAAAAGTTTTGGACTCAAAATTAATTCAAATGAAAATATGAATTGCTCATGATACCGACTTAGATTCTAGGTTCGCTGTGCTGGAATATAGAAATGTCCATTGCCAAAGCAATGTGGCATGTGAAAGTTCAAAAGACGACTGAAACTCAATAATTTTTGGAAATATGATTGAAATGATTAGTATTTATATTTCTATTGCTATTTCTATCCTTAAAATGATTTTAGACCTTATATCCGAAATAATCAGTAACACATATACATAGGTAATCATGTTGAATATTTCATTTTATGTTATATCCCTTTATGAATGGAGAAAGAGAGGAAAAAGACAAAGATAAGTAGCTTTTTAGAGAGAGAGAGAGATAAGAGAGATAAGATTCGTCAGAAACAAGGAGTGTGACCTCTTTGGAGAACATATACAGACCATAGATTATAAACTTTTATTCATCTGAAACTTCAACACATCACTGTCAATCACCGATGAGATTGTTGACCTAGTACTCATATTATACAATTCTGAAATCAAGATGCAACAAGAACCTTCGATTTCTTACTTCTATTGGGTACTGTTGGAGTCTTAGTACCACGAGATCTAGGCGTTATATGAATACTTTTTGAGTTCACATGTGATACTGAAGTCATTCGACATCTCATTGTTTGGTACACCAGAATCTCCTCCAATTCACTTTCTCTAGCATTCTTTAAAAATTCGTCGATTAATTTGGATGGAATTTGGGCTACTATTTCTTGTTTATCAACGAAAAGTTCAGTTTCATTATTATACAAGCACAAAAAATCACTCAATTGTTTAGCTACCATTGCGGCCTTATCTTTGAAATTCAACTCATCCTGAGGTAGAAAAATATTCAATGGGGACTTCAAAAAATGCGACGCTCGCTGCAGGAATTTCAAAACCATTTCTATGTATTCTGATTTGTCAGGTCTTTCAACGATGTTCTTCAAAACACAAACCAAATAACGACTGAAAATTTTTCTTGCATCACATTGTGTTATTCTCTTACCATTCTTCAACATGTCTAGGATCGATTTCAATCCTGAATTGGGAAACTCCTTGATAACATCAGTAGGTACTACCGTTAAATTTGATCCTCTGATAGACTTCCTTTCATATCTGTTCTGTCTTTCTTTCGAACTTCTGCTCATTTGCGGCTCAATTTTTCGATCCACATTTTTCTTCTCACAGTTTGATATATGCTTTGGTCCAAGAATAATTTCAGGATATAGATTCTTGTGAAGTATAAGATTGTAATTGTAAGAAGTGCCAATTCCTATATTGGTTGTAGGTATTCCTGATATGGGGATTCCACTTGATGGGTCTAAATATTGTGAATAATGGTCCCAACTGTCACTAGCTGGAAAAATTCGAACAAATCCTCCTCTTCTTTGAAATTGGGCCATAGCATTCCTAACCACATTATTTTCTTCAGATAAAGAATGACTAGATGCATTGAAGATTTTATTCATTGGTAGCTGCCCATTTCTCAGTTTGAAATTGGAATCACATTGCTGACTATGACTTCCTGAATTGATCATCATCGGATCAACGGCTGGGATACCAACAAGTGTCAAGAGATCTGCTAACATTGCAGCCTTTAATCTCACATCTAGCGGACTATCACAATTCAATGACGGTGACAAGTTAACTTCTAACAGCCATGGCTTCAAATTTTTGTCTATCAATATGTCGAACCCGAATAACTCGAAAGCATTGTTAACATGAGGAACAAACATCTTACAAGCAGTTATTATTGAGTTGCCAGTGGCTATTATAGCTTTTATTATCAAATCTTCTATTTGGGACATCAGTAATAAGGTATCTCTTCCTTCAGACTTGAGATATCTCAAGAGAGCACTGAGAGTCCACTTATGACCAACATTTTCTGCAGAAGGATCATCTGATTTCAAGTAATCACTGTGATATTTGTTGATACTATAATTACATAGATGCATACAAGGATTCCATAACTGCTTATGATTGGAATCATATTTCACCGTTGCAAATCGTACTAATCCTTCTTCATAAATGTATATAAGAAGAGGATCGAAGCTGGTAACTACTACATAAAGCCTCAGATCACATTTCCTACCGGCTACTAGGAGGGGGTTAGAAATATACTTAGCTACGACTAAATTTTCTTCTGCAGGTACTTGGTTTGGTGTTTCAGCAAGGAAAATACCTCTTCCTCTACTTGAAGCTACCGGTTTGACAATCCAAGGCCCTTTGATTCTCAGATGAGTCGTACATAGTTCCCTGTATTCGTATGGCATAATGAAAGTTTGCGGAATGAAGTCGAAATGTTTGAGACCTTTGATCTGTTGCATCCGTTCAATATTTTTATAAAGGCGGTCTTTCCGAGTGAGTTCATAAGATCTAGGAAAGTGGTTGACTCGTTGATGTGATGCTAGAGCTCTGAGAGTCTCAGGTTTCGGATGAGATCCAGTCCACAAAAGATTGAAGTCTGAGGAATTAGGAGCTACTTCAGTGACTCCATGACATTTCAACAGTTTCGATAGCAATTTCGTTTCAGCTTGAAGTACTTTGTATGTGATGTGGAGCTTGAAACCTGGTTTGTTCTGTATAGCATTTTCTGAAGAATTTGCTAAAGATGAACTTTTGAATATGAGAATACTATTTCCGAGATAGCATCTAGATAACCAAGCAGAGGAATCTTCATTTTGACAATTCGGTTCTTCGGATGCAATTTCATAGCCTTCCATCATTATTATATCAGGTCCATAATCACTTTGATGTTCTGAATCTGCTATAGTGTTTTTTTCGATTACGGATTCTTCCGGAAGGTGCCCATCAACAGAGGAGTTTGGTTCACTCTGTTGTTTTTGTGGAAGATCTGTGTTCATGATATTACCTGAGAAAGCTTCATTCATATTCTTAGCCATCTTTGAATATTCCTATTCTTCAATTCATTTCACTAGAATTTTGAGAAAGTTGACAAAAAATGTATGTTACGATCAGAAATTTTTGACAATGAATGACATTTTATAATTTGTTGTCAAACATACATTTGTGAAAGTTTCAGATGAAGTCGAATGATATACAGAACGTGGTAAAAAGATATGATAATCATATCGTTGAACCATAGATTGTTGAACTAAATATACAAGGAGCTGTTATACGAGTAGATATTACCAACAAGGGTTTAGCAAAAAAACTCGAATACGTTAATCTTGATAATATTCCTTTTCAATTTCTTCAGAATCATACAGGGTTATTTATAACTGACTGAAAATGGATTCGATGGCTTTCACATTATTGAATCGAATCTAAATAGAAAATGACATATTCTCAGAAGATATAGGTAGATCATATTGCCATCAGAGATGAGGTTGAAGAATAAGTACCTATACAGGGTGATTCAGGATTTGAGACACAAACAAACAAACTGTAATGGGAGATAGATCTCATTATTTCAATCGGATAAGTTTATATAATCATAAGTCCGATCTCGTCCAGAAGCGGAGCTACAGGGGGTCAAAGTACAATAATTTTGTTCTATCAATTGAAATCTCTCGCTCACTTCTTGAGATTTCATTTTGAAATTTGGTGTGGTCAATACTTCCTATGAGATCATCATTTCAAGCTATTTGAAGATTTTCAAAATCTTCAGGGTGATAGGTTTTTGTGGGTAAAGGCTTCTTTATCCCCCCCAAACTTTCTCGTCGTACGCCTCTGGCATCTTCATTGTGTGGATCGTTCAATTTAGAAGCTTTTTTGATTCCTTATTCTTTTCGAGAAAACGAACCGTTTTTGAGATAAATGAGCATATACGTTCTAAGACATGTAAATTTTGCATATGTTTCGCTTAAATTTTATTCTTTGATAAAATTCGTTAAGAATACAATGAAATGTACTCACTTAAATTGCAATCACTAGTCCAATCTGGATCAGTTACGGGAATACGAAGGGTAGAAAGTCGAGTTTTTTTTAAGTGAAATGAAATTTAAGCGAAACATAGGCAAAATTAACATGTTTCAGAACGTAGGTATATGCTCAATTATCACAGAAACAGTTCGTTTTTCGAAAGAAATTGAAGAACAAAAAAAGCCTTTAAATTGAACGATCCACACAATTTGATCACGTGAGGGTGCCAGAGGCGTACTACGAAAAAGTTTGGAGGGGATAAAGAAGCCTCTACCCCCAAAACCGTGTCACCCTGTAGATTTTGAAAATCTTGAAATGGCTTGAAATTATGATATTTTAAATAGTATCGACCACACCAAATTTTCAAATAATATCTTGAAAAGTAAGCGAGATATTTCAATTAATAGAAAAAAAAATTAAACTTTGACCCCCTGTAGCTCCGCTACTGAACGAGATCGAACTGATGTATATATGAACTTTTCTGATTGAAATGATGAGATCTACTTCCCATTTCAGTTTGTGCTCTAAAACCTGAATCACCCTGTATAATAGTAATGGAATGCAATTTCAAAAAATCCCTCATCATTTCCGCCGGTAGTACAAAAACCACAAGTATAATACATTATATCGTTGTATATGTATGTTGGAAACACAACTCCAATTGAAGGGCTGAGAAACATAACATAAGAGACCAAATGATCGTTTGGATATAATGAGGGTTAGAGTTCAGTTGATTTTGAAACTTCCTATTAACTATTCAATGATTCGTTTGTATGCTCTGATGAATTATATTTTTTTCACCCAAAAACTTCCTTAGGTTTTTTTGATTCTGATCAATTTGATATTCCATGGTATAAATGTGACACGAGTGGAGATATCAAAGTTGAAAAATGTATTATTGTTCATTCTGAACATTGAATAATATCACAAAATAGAATACAAAGTTCATCCATATTCAGAGATTAGTTTCACTTAGTCATCATCACGTACGAAAGCTAGGGTTTCAGTTTCCTATTTTGACCATTTCTATTCCTTTGATTGTTATGCATCATAACTTGAGTTTGTCAAGAAATCCTTATACGGGTGTTTCAGATTTAAATGTACATACGATACCTGTAGATAGGGGAAACTGTGATGGTTCCAGATCACCCCCCTTTGATGTGTCTACCGTTTTTGATAACTGAGATACAGGACGATATCTTGATTTTGGCAAATTCATCATCTGGTCATAGCTTTTCAACCACTTTGTATAATCTATCCATACGTGGTAGAACTATTTCACTTATATTACCCATCAAATCTAAATGAAAATCGGGATCAGAATGCAGGTCAGTCTTGAGGAAAAACAGAAAACTTTTTTTATACCAAAAACAACACTCTGTATGGCAAATTTTTTTAGGTTTGTTTCAATATTTGAAGAGAGCAGGAAAAAACGAATGAAGTGACCTACTTTTTACGACCGCGCATCCGATTTGACAGATGTTTCATTATTATTTTCTGTTATACTCGGCTCCATTTTGAGTCATTTTTATTGAACTCGTAATTCAAAATCCAATTATTTCACAAAATAATAACGTCCTTCGAAGTTCAACATCATTGGGGTGAAATAGGTAGATCTGTTCGTTCGACAAAATAACGTCTGTGGTTTTGGAAATTTTTGATGGCTTGTTTTATTCTTCACTATTGATTCATGAGCTGCGGTGTATCTATCAATTTCTCACCTAATTTGCTTCTAATGACGTTCAACTTTGAAGACAATTTTTTTTCTGTATCAAAATTGGATTTTGAATTAAAGTTCAATAAAAATGCCTCGAAATGAGGTGAATATTTCAAAACATAATAATAAACCATCTGTCAAATTGGATGCGCGCTCGTAATGAGTAGGTCACTTTTCAATTTTTTCCTGCTCTTTCCAAATATCAAAACAGATCCACAAAATGCTGCCATACAGAGTGTTGTTTTTGAAATAAACAAGTTTTCTGTTTTTCCTTAAGACGGACCTAGATTCTGATCTCAATTTTCATTTAGTTTTGATGTGTTATATCAGTGAAATTTTTCTACCAAGTATGAATAGATTATACGATGTGGTTCAAAGATTATGACCTGATAAAGATTTTGCCAAAATCAATATAACGTCCTGTATCTCAGTTATATCAGAGGGTAAACACATCAATGGGGGTGATTTGAAACCGTCAAAGTGTCCTCTATCTGCCAGTATCGTATGTACATTTGAGTCTGAAACACCCTGTATTCAGGAGGAATGAATTCAAGCAGCAATTTGGGAATACTACATGGTTTAACGAGCACAGAATGATAGTCACTTCTCACGGCTCATACTGCAAATCATACGAGAGGGAAATTAGCACTATGTGCGAGTTATAAACTATACTTTTTCTACGGCTGCAACAGATGAAATCGAAATTTTTGATTTCTTCGGCTTGTAGTCAACTGATTTTCTCTCAAGTAGTACTCCATTTGACAAAGCTCTGTCACTGCTTGGATTTTGACATTTTATGGGAGATAACATTTATAGTGGAATAATGATACAATGAAGTCATTGTGTCATTGATCTAACTAACACAGAAGTACAACAGCAATTTTGTATTATAGCCGTAACAAAATAGTATTTTCCGTTCTTCGTCTGTAAATGTTAGAACAGTGATTTCTATATTTGTGTACATATTCTTGACATTCTTTCTGCCTTCTAATTTTTCTATTACTAATATATTCCCGACCTTCGTATTTTTTTTGTATGATTTCTCTTGTCTATCATTTTTGTGAGTTTCGTTGTCTTTCGATCATGTGCAAGCAATTCTACAAAATTTGTGATGTTAATGACTTCATGAGGTACGTAGGTACTCACCTGCCTCAGATATATCCTATTTCGTCTTTCACGATCTCCTATCATATTTTATGCACACTACAAGAAAAAGGCTCTCAGTACCAACAGTGAACAACCATCTACTGATTGACAACCTCAACTTTTTGGTGAAATATACACAAGTATCCGTTAACATAAACAAAATCAGACAAATGTTGGGGAGTAAAACAACCTAAGTGATATTTGAGCCGTTTTGCTCCCCACTATTACAGTATTTTCGTTGAACAACTATTTACCTTCATCCAGAGATGGCACAGTCTGACGACATTTGGTTTAAGTAATTTTTGCACTTGATAGAATGATTCTTTTGGAGATTTGGGTTGTTCCGCTTCTCACCCCCTCAATTGTTACTGTCCATTGTCAACATGTTGCTGTTGTGTTTTATCGGATCGTGCATTCTATTTTGGTTTATATAATGCTACATTTGATATTTGATACATATCAGAAATTAAAGAAGTACCTAATGAATATAATATGTAATCACACCAGGGTGTTTCATGAGGAGACTCACATAGCCAAATGGTCAATAGGGGAAATCAAGACGAGTTGATGTATATATATGAAAACATTTTTTGACCCTCCATAACGAAGATACAGACAGGGTATTATGTGAAATTGCTTTATAACTTTGATGGTCGATATTACAGAAATAATTCGTCGTAATCTGCTGAAATTTAGCAGCAACGTACCTCTACTGAGACTATTCAAGATAACATATTATGAAAAAAATATCCAGGTCCGGACTTGGTAAAATTTTATATTTCATTATTATGTCAAAAAAGTTCACTGTTGTGACCACTTTTCTCAAAAAATTCCATCAGATTCAGAAATATCAGACAAAATGCTATAAGAACTGCTCTCCAATTTACACGGCACACTTTGACCGGTTCAACAAAAAAATATGGAACAAAAACGTTCGAATGAATTTTCAATTTCGACCTGGCTGATAACTCTCAACTTTTAACTGGATTCGTGTAAATTGATTTTTTGTACATTTTCATTGTATAGAAATTGACAGAAGAGATTAGTACTGATTCTTTAATGATTTGACTTGTTAGTTTTTGATCGAACTTCTAGATAGATATGATTACTCGTGACTCTATTTTATAAATTTATTATAAAGTGGGCCCTGTTTTTATTTTATGTAACATGACGTTTGTTGATAGGTAAACACTGGTGATCGAAATATTCTTACACTCTAGGTGCCACTTCATATTCCAAATGCTGAACAAGACGAAAAT